AAAAAAAAATACTGCTAAGATTTGATTATGTCTTTAAATTTTAGCTGGAAATTTTTGGGGTCTGAAAGTAAAGCTACTAAACAAGGCCCGTTCTACTATTTTCGCTAATTATTTGATCTATTGGTCATGTAAATCTTGTTAACCTTACAACAGCGGAAGCATTAGCTGCCGAGGTCAGCCAAGAGAACTTGGATAAAGGGCTCATATACCCACCATTCTCAAATATCCGAAAGATTTCGGCCCAAATTGCAGCCCAAGTGGCTGCTAAAGCATATGAACTTGGTAACAAACATCATCTTCATTTTGACTCCCATGTTGCAGATTATGCTAGCAATGTATTTTATAGTTACATGTACCTAAAAACTCTTCGTATCACATCTTTTTTTTTAAAGAATAATTGTTTTTTTAATAGGTTTGGCAACTCGTCTGCCACAACCGGATAACCTAGTGGCATATGCACTGAGCTGTATGTACAGCCCCAACTACCGTCATTACCGTTGAGCCTATGAAACGATCCTTTTATTTATACTTTAACTGTGTTATCGTTTTTGGTCCCTTTTTTTCCTGTTTATCTGTATCTTGAATTTGAATCCTGCTCTTGAATTGTTTGTTTTAGTTTCAAGTGGACTAGAGATTATTAGGGTTAGATGCTTGAATGTAAAATTTGGTATGATGAAGGTTATGTTTTTTACTGAGCTCAACATGGCAAAAATCAGTAAATCACCTCTATTTATTGCTAGTGTGTACTGGAGTTTATATATTATTCTCAGGTATGAAATGGTGAGCTGCAAGTAATGTGATCGAAGAAAATGAATTTGATCCTTTTCATTTTTTTTTATTATTTTTTTATATTTTTCGCCACTTTGTATTTTATTATGTTCTCTTGGGATACACATTGGACAGAGCTACCAGATTATTAGATACAGATTTATTCTTATTATTTTTTTAAAAATAGTTCTATTTGAACTATTTATCAGTTAACTAGTGAACGTGAACTCGAATTAAATGTTGCAAAAATTAGCTTAAGGTTATGTTTGGTAAACCAAATAAGCTAGCTTATAGCTTATTTGGTTAGCTTATAAGCTTCCTGTATTCAAATAAGCCCCGTTTGGTAGGACGAGCTTATTTAAAAAGCTCGAGCTTATTTGATAAGCTTGTTTAGGTAGCTTTTCAAATAAGCTAGTTGAATTTTTTATTCCAGCTAGCTTATCAGCTAATTTTACCAAACACTTTTATCATATAAACTAGCTTTTCAGCTATAAGTCATAAGTTATAAGCTATAAGCTTGAAAATTACATATAAGCTATAAGCTAGCTTATCAGCTATCAGCTAGCTTATCAGCTAGTTTTACCAAACATACCCTAAGATGCCATATATGTGCAGCTAAGCGGTTAGTGGGAAAAAGTGTATCCACCTTTATCGAGCCTAGCTAGATTGTGTACGTCTAAACAGCCACAAATTGACTGCAGCTAAAAAAAATGAAGTAATATAATAGTTTTAAAATGATATATGAAAACTAGTAATCTAGCTCTCTCTCTCTCTCTTTGAAAAAAAGAGGTGAGCTCTCTCACAGAAAAAAGAAAAACCCCATATCCTTGAACATAGTCGTCGTCCAATTTTCGTCGCCCCTTCTCTTTCGACGGGTTGTCCTCTGTGCCACTGCCAACTAGGTTGTCGTAGACCGAATTGTAGTTGGGGCCCTCTTTTTTGTCTCACCCAGAGCTTTGTGGGTGTCATGGCCGTTGGTAGATCTTGCAGCCCAGCCTATCTCTCCGACTCCGGGAGGTGTCGCCAGTCGTCGTGTCCAACCTTAGTCGTGTGAGTCTGCCGCTCTGTCGGGTTCGGTTTGTGTTCCTTTTTTTTTTTTTGCTTCTCGG